CGCTTTTAATTTAATGCGATTAACGCTCGCGTGTGGGGAGAGATTTATGCGCGTTAGGAAAAATTTTGCCAGCTAAATTATACTTAAATAATCTGCTATTTACAAAAGGAGGTATCTTGGTATATATAAAAAGAAAATTAATCCAGTCGAGGGATCTCGCACAATTGCCACAAGATATTAATTAACGGATCCGTTTCCATCGGCGAAAGCATTTTTTTCTCTCATCAACATTCAACTTTCCACCGTATACAATTCCCGTCCTCTCTTTCTCCGAGTTCATTAAAAACTTTCGGGAGCGGTTTCGCTTTCGAAAACAAAAAGTTACTTCGCAGTGGAAGACGCCGAATAACGGCGGGATTAAACTCGCGTTTTTTTCGCCGCGTTTCCGCGACATTCGAACCGATTCGCTCGAAAATTTTTAATTGCGCCTCGATGATCGGGCGCCGAAGACGCTCCAGCGTATCGGGCTAATTAAATTGAAACGGGAGCCGATCTCTGCAGGAAAATCCGCGAATAGACGGTGCGTCGGGACGCCGGCGGAGATGTTTGTCGACGCCGATGCAAGCCGAATACATATACACTGGAAGTTTCTCTTTAAAACCATATATACACATAATTTAATTGATTAAAACGTAAGGTAGAAGTTTCTGTATGAATTACACTGGTATACAGAATTCAAAATTGTTCTAAATGGATTATACATTTTTAATTAGCCCGGTAAAATCATTTGTAGCAATAAAACTTCATTGTAATAAAGTCTAGAACGTATATTACAATGGTGTTTTTGCTTACAACCTTGCGGTATAAAATAATAATTATTATCAATGTTCGAAGGGAACAAATCCTCGAAATGGATTGGAAAATGCAAGAGGAATTACCAGCATTGATGGAATTTACTGTATTCGCCTGTTTTCGACATAATTTCCAGCTACACTTTTAGGTAGATGTATTCCTGCAGTGAGCCCATAAAGCATGTCAAAAAGACATTACCCGGAGCAAACGAAAAATTATTATTCGCGACAAACATTCTGTTTCGCCCGTCTCGTTTATAATTCGTAAAATAATGAACTGTGTGTACGGAGCAAAACAACCGGGGTGTTCTTGGAAAAATTCCAAGTTTCATCTCGCAGGAATCACGAGCTGCTGGGCGTTTGACATCAGAATATTAATTAGGCGTATGCTTTGTACTAATGGAGTCCAACGGTAACAAGAGCTCCTTTCCTGGACTGACAATTCCGGTTCTCCTGCTACATGTTAATGCGTACAACAATATAAGTAATTAAATGATTAAATTCATCGGTTTCCAACTTGAATCCTTTATGGAAAACCAATTAAAGCGTAGCCAATTATCCAGAAACGCTCGACTACCATTAAATTAAGTAGTTAAGAACTATTACCGTCTCAATAGGTCGATCCCGAGCGGTTAAGAACCTCATTCGAAATTCACGAGCTATTCCAATAACCTCTTTCCAAATTAAAAAAAAAATCTAACCTTCAGAAAGTTTCGTCCTCTGGAAAACTCACACAAAAAAATACAACCATACCACCCGTGCACTGTTTAGATTCCAGATAGAGAATTCGAACTCGTCCGGCCCAGCACTGGCCACTGTGGGATCGCTCGCGCTCGTCGGAAAAACCGGTCGTGTGCCGGAAAAGCGTGCGGAAGACGCGACCTGTTCGATTTCCCACGCCCGACTCGGGCGTAAGCGGCGGCGAAACTAAGACCGAGGGTGGGGACGCCGTGGTGGGGCGCGCGGAATATCTGGTGGGGTTAGATCGATTTTGTATCCTCGGGGGCCGGGGTCGCAACTGCGGGGACCGAAGCTCCTTGAATGCCCTGGACACCCTGTAGATGTTTGATTAGATGTATGCGAATTTGTGCGTGTGGAAAATTAGGCGGGATTGTTTGGAATTTTTGGGTTGCGAGCGGTTGGAAATTCGGTCCGTTTGTGTGGATGAGAGGGCCACTGTGCGCGGGGTTGGAGTCGCCGTTTTTCCTAGGCAATTGCGAGTGTTCTTGTCCTAGTCGGAGTCGCATGTATATCTTTCCTTAGCGAGGATAAATATTTGATAAGTGCGTTTTATTGTCAGTGACAGCTAGAGGATTTTTAATACCGGCTCTGACTGATGCGGAATATGACAGGCTTGAAGGGATGTGGAGGATATACGTTTTCTTGAAATTTCCGAGCTCGTGCATGCAGGGATTTTCCTTTCCGGAAAATTACGTTTTCCTGATACCGTCGCTTATGTTTGATTCGCGAGCCGGCTAAACAATAATCCTCGACCGAAATTAAAGTGTATAAAATATCGTTTTAACAAATATATCTCGGCGTAAATATGAGTTTGATGCGGATATATGATCCGTTTTCGGGAACATCCGACCTCAAAAACCGAGCGACTCGAAAAGGATCAAAGGCCGGGGTTATTATTAAAAATCTTAATTGAGCATCGCGAGCATTTCGACTTCGAGCGCGCCCTTAATGTGGGCAACCCCTTAAGTTATTTCGAAATTAAATGTTATCAGTATTTGAATCGCGAAGGCAATTTTCCGAGGAACGATTATACCAGTTAGAGGATAACGGGCTTTCATTAATTTTTTTTCGGCTCGCGCAAGAATTAAATTAAATTTTCCTTTTTGTCGGGTTACTGATATTTCCTCGTACGCGGGGAATACACGCTTCGAGCGACCGAAAATATTATATTTCATTCCGAAAATGCGGTCGAATTTTGTAATTTTTGCCGAAGCCTCCGGTATTTCGAAACCCATCGAACGCAATTTCTTAAGCAAAAAAAATCGACTTTTCCACGAGTGTTGACTCGTTCCTTACCGGGTAGAGAACGGTAACGCACGGACGCCCCCGAGAAAAATCAATTTTCAGATAAGTTACTAGCAACGCAAATATTTGGCAATGTATGTTCTCCGAATTGACAGCCGGAATATTGATTTCCAGCTAGAGTTCTTTTTCTGAGCGCGATCAAAAGGATACTAGTTGAATACAGAGCGCACATAAAGCGGATCGGATTGGCGCTTTGATTGATCCTTTGATGAAAAGCTGCGGGTTGTATTTTTTTTTCGCCGGGGAAAAAAGCTAATGCTAGTCGGGATTTGGGAGTGAGCCAATGCATTTAATGAAATTTCGAAAATTGGTTCAGTAACTGCTTTCTTCGACATGTTAATGTGATTAATTCCATGTATACTAGTTTAGTATATTTCTTAACTTTAAAATGTTTACTTTGCATGATAACTTGATGTGGATCGAAAGATTTAATAACGTGTTTAAATCTCTCAGGGAAATGCTGTTGCAAACATATTTGCATATGGAAAAAGAGCAAAAAAATAACACTCCTGAAAGTGAGTTCACGATCGAAAAATAAACTTCTCGCGTTGTGTATAAGTAACGTTACTTCTAGATTGTATCTATTTTATCTTGTTTTATGCGCGCCGGCCACCTCGGCGTTATATTTTTCTCCACGGCGGACAGGTGTTTTCCACTTTCCACACTTTCTTCGCAGTGAATTATCCTCATTTTATTCATTTTTATCTTTCGCCTTTATTTATGCGGTACGGCTGAGTTATCGGAGTTGCGAAACTCCGTTGTTTTTGTTCTTAAATAAATCCCGCCACTGCTGGAGTATTTATTTTTGCGGTTTTGTCCCGCTCCGAATATGTTTTTACTCGACGTGATGTATGCATTATTTAAATTTCTTTAAATTTCCCTATCGCAATTTGCCTATTGTTCATGTTACTCAATTCCGGGCGATGATAATCTAGGATCGAGGATCTTTGATCGAAGATGGAAGGTGGAGGATTAAGGATCAATGATCACTGATTATTTATTGATCAAGAAACACATTGGTATACAAAAGGAATTAATACAACCCTTTACTAATTATTGTAACTAAACTGACTTGAAGAACGTTCTTTGGCGTTTCCATTTTGGATTCTGCGGGAAAAACTGGGAAACTAAGATAATTCGGTTTTCGTTCGGGCGCGTTTTTGTTCGGGCGTCCATTAAACAACGCGCAACGCCATAAAATACAGAGGGTTTTCGCTGACGTGACGCATTAATAAAACGCTACAACGAACGGAATTAATATATTGTGGTTTCGTTGACGTTTTTAAACGTGCCGGCTAGTCCGATACACGACGAAAATAGCTGAATATTTCCCTGAATTATGTAACTAGCTGCCGCGGAAATTTATCGACTGTATTTAAAAATATATTTTTTGAATCCTCTATACAGTCGTTTATTTTGGTTAAAATTTTAGATGGAACTCTTGCGAAGTTTCCTTTCGAAGGGAATTTGTTTATGTACACTTTTCCAGACAAGTGCAGAAAACTTTGTGACGACTGCATTAAGAATATCAGCTATGGCGTACAATGGAATGAATAAAATCGAGTCGATGGTTTATTAGGATTCTCCGGTGAACTTCTCCAGATTTATTGGACTTTTCTACTAATGTCCCAACAACTTTGAAAAATGTAGTCTCCTCCGAATTCCTTATGTATACGGTGTTTCGTCGGACTTTTCGCCTCTTTAATATTTCATGGCCTTTAAGACGGCCGGGACCTAATGAATATTTCATCGTGTTCGCACACGTCCTCGCAATTAACTTGTTATTATTTATTACAGTTAATCCGCGTCGGTAAAAGCTCCGCCGAACCGGCTTTTCCCAAATTCGCATCGACCGTTATTTAATCTGCTTTGATAGAACACGAGCAAAAAATTAAACTTCAATTACTAGGATTATTATACCTTTATACTATTACTAGCAATTACTATACAGAGTGTCTATGTTCGAGCGCTTCAAACAGTAGAAAGAGAGAATCAGACATAGTGTATATAGGATTCGAGTTACCATTAACTCTAAAATCAAAATTTTACCTACATTTCCCGCTATCTGAAATAAATAATAAATATTTGATGCACGTGAAGAAACCAACAGATAATTTATTTACACATCTCATACGTTTACACTTATTAATTAACGCTAAATTAATTGAAATAGAAACCTCTACTAACCGTTCGCAAGAATGTTTGTTAATTACATTAGAACGATTTTAGGTAATTAACAAACGTTGGTGCCCATGATTGTTAATTACATAGTACAACAACCTTAAGATATTTTGCCATGTTGAATGTAATATTCAATCCATTTCTAGTTTTCTGAAATTACCGTGATAGCCCAAAATTTCATCGTTTTTCAAAGGGGCCGGTCGCAACATCTCGTTGGTTTTTAATTTATCGATAACGTTGAATCTCTCTTTGTATTCCGCTAGTTTTATTTGCCACATTTCTACAAATAAATAAAACTAATACCTATCATTTTATTATTGTACAATAGTTACTTACGGTTAAGTTCGTGTAAAGGCAAATCTAGTCCACCATAGTCCTTCGGCAGGACTTTTAACGAAATGTTATTAGATAAAGTATCTACTCCTTCGTGTACGAACACCTACAGAGGTTAAAAGTTAATAAACTCGTCTAAATAAATGCCAATATTTTCCTTACTCTTTGCGCTAATTTGGGTTTAATTAGCTGCTTCATTAGGTTGATGGCGTTGAGAGCAAACGTAGGGCAATTTACGAAGTGGAATTGTCTTATTTTGTTCGAATACACTTTCTAAAAATCGAGTTATCATCAATTCTTGCGAAATTACTATTTCTGATAGCTTACTTCTAAAATAGTAACCATTTTCTTCAACTGGAACGGCGACACTTTGAATATATGCGAAAGTTTCACGTTTTCGAAATCGATGATGAAAATGTCCTCGAATATGACGTCCTCTTGGATTCTGACCTCTAACGAATTGAAACCGTACCCCAAATATTGGTAAAAATCGAAATTCTCCGTATCTGCGCTCAGCATTTTTGCCACGGACACTCTGTGACCTTCTTCAGTTCGCTTGGGCAGCGGAAAAAAATACCTAAAATAAAATTATTAGACGTTTAAAATTATTTCTAATGCAGTGTAGCTACATGTTTAGATTTACTTACAGTTCATTGGAGACTTTCTTCATTCGTGCTGAATTCATGTTGGAGTTTTCGTATATTTCAGGCATTAATTGACGAATCGTGTAATACATGTCCAGTTTTTGCTTGGTTTGTTCAATGCTGCATTTATTTACTAGTAGGAAATTCATTATTTGATGGTCGCCTGAAAGAGTAGAAAATGTGAATATAAGAGAAAATTTCTTACTAATTTACTTACTGCTTATTTCTGGAAGATGATGCTGAGTTTTCATCCAATCTTTAATGGTACGAATATCGAGTTTGAATTGATTTTGAGTTCTGCCGAATGTTTTTAACGCCGTTGATAATGTTTCTTCGTTATTTTTGGCCAGCCAGCGTCTTGTGTCCATTGTTCCTTGAATAATATTAAATTCAATAGGATATGGTGAAATTGGATTTGGCTAAATTGCCTTTATAATTAGGTAGGAATTATTAATAATCCAATAATTCAATTGTAGGCGATTTTAAATATTCAATAAAATCGTTCAATAAATTCGTTATAGGTGCATCAATAAATACATTAATTAATGAAAATGGAGGTTGGTTAACAGCAAAATTATATCTATTTATTGGATTAACGCTATTTCTACACTATAGTTACACCGACAACGACCGTGTTTGCTTAACAAACAGTTTAATCAATATTTTAAAATTTCGAAAAAGGTTAAATAGATCGTTAGAGCATTCATTCATATAATGTTTTACCTTCGTTTTTAACACTTTGATTCATTGCTATACCATTGAAATTAATCAACTAACACACACACTTTAATGTTATACACTGGATGGTTTTTAATGGTGAATATATCAAATAAAAAGTGATTTTTTAAAAAAGCGATTGAAAATATATGTCGGCTTACCAATTCGCTGGAAACATATCGCCGATTTAATCAAAATTTCCATAACAGCGCACCCAAATAGAAGTCATCAAACACTGATTCGAAAGTGAAGTTCAACATCGACTATAGGAATATTTAAATTGCCAAATATTTATCGAAAATTCCTATTAGCGACGACTCTTTGTATTGAGTTAATGGTGTTAGTTATGGAAAATTATATTGTAATTTATATTCCGCTTTCCATATTCGAAAATAATTACACTAAATTGGGTCTTGTTAATTATTAATTGGAAACGATTTATGCAAGAATTGTCGCTCGTATCAATATTTAGAATTTGTAAAATTTGATTTTCGATCGGTTATTAAACTAGTTTTGGATTGAAAAAATTACCTGCATAAAAATATCCGCTCTTCGTTGCAACAAACATTATTCAAAAATTAAACTAGAATCCGATGCACTTGAACGTTCTTCTTATATGCGCTTGTAGTTGATAACCTTGTTTCTTATAACAATAAAATAAACGATCTGATGCGTTATAAAATATTTGCAGCAAATAGGAAAAGCTACAAAACATGATGTAACAGGAATAACAAAAATCGATGTAAAATTTAACCAACACTTTATCGAGTTTCCATGGTCAGAATTTATTTCAGAACAGTTGTAAACTAACAAGGTGAATTTTGTAGCATTTTGTATAGCATCAATTCAATCAATTATTTTTCCTAATATACGAGTATCGACACAAATTTGAATAAATCGAACCGTACAATCGAATTATTATCGGTTGCAATTTTCGATACCCCGAGGAGAGGCATTGTCTGATCTAATAATAATCGTCTTCGGGGATCGTATTGATTTACAATAAGTAGGACGCTATCCCGATCAACTAGGGAATCACTAGTAATGGCCAATGTACCGGCAACTTCGCTATAAATTAACCTATATTAATGTCTGTATGTGCCCTCCTTTAAGAGGGTTGTACGATTTGTCCATCAAAGAAATGATTTCCGTTTATGCATGGAAGAATCGGTATTGTCGATGACCTCTCTGTGTAGCGATAAAGTCGCTTCGAGCCGCAGGAATAAAGAGTTATTCGGCAAAGGAAGCGGGCCTGGATGGGCCGCAATTATACATTTCCTATTTCCTACGTTTCTGGATGTTCGCGTGGTTCCGGATTTCCCGGCTAATCCGGCGTTTCCTTTTAAATTGCGTTTAGCTGCAAATGGCACAAACACGACCGGATTTCGAAAAAGTCGCTTCGCGAGGAGTTTCGCAATCTTCTCGATCAACAAATGGTTTTTGCCTAATCGCGTGTTGATTGATTTACGTCCGGTAATAATTCGCAGTTCGAACGCTGAAAGTGAAAATCGTAATTGCCTATATTGCGAGAAAAATTCGATGGCGATCATCCTTCATTTCGATATATAACCGGCCGATTTCATCCGTCAGTTTTGAAAAATGATTAGTTTATGTGGGAATTTGCGCCAATTTCCACCGCTATTTTTCCAACAGGTATTTTTTTGGCGTTTCATACGGAACGCGCTTAGCGCAATTTCGATACAAATTTAAAAACTTATTAGATATAAACTTAGAGTCAATCGCATTAAACGCAGGCGTAAACTGCCTTCGTTCGCATTTAAAGTAGACGAAATTACCCGAGGGGGTTAAAACTAGTCCGATACGTCAATCCATAAATGCAATTTGACACATAATATTCTCTCGGAACGTACATTCTACACACTTTTATGCGCCGTTTTACGGTAACGAGTTTTCGAACGATTCGATATTGAGAATTTCACCGTCTACTGCCGGTCGGGTCTTTAGGGACTCGCCACCGCAGCTGCGGGAGGCTTCGCGACCCTTTTATTGATACATCTACAACGGGGCGGCCCGTTAACTGAGCAGTTATTTTCCTTTTTTTTATCATCGTTTTAAAATTAACAAGCATTAGCATTTAACGTTAATATTACATTAAATTCTGCAGGTATTAGGCTTGATCTATTTCGTGTATTTATTTTTACAAAGTTGGTCACGATGCTCGGCAAGTATGACGACATTAGTGACGTGCATTGATATTTGTTTTGCACCGACTGTATAGTAAAACAATGGCCTCATTAACTGGAACGATCCGAAACCCGTACAAATTCCGATGCTTAAACTCAAACGGTATTAATTTCCACTATTCTTCGTGCTATCTTAAATTGTTAAAACGCCATTTCCCGCGGGATAGCGTCACGGCCGATTTCGCTTAGTTGTTAAATTGTCTAAACGTGGCCCTTTGTTAAAATGCTCACGTTACACCTATTAAGAAAATGATAAGAATAAAATCCGATGGCTCCGCCGCAGTCCCGGAACCTTCTATTTTCCTGCAGTATATATATCCGGAAAACTGTTTCGGGAAATATGGAGTGGAGTTCGTTAAACTGACGGGGTATTTTGGCGGTGTAATTGTAATTCGTATACGTATATTTTCGGGTGAATCGATGGCGAATATCAATTCGCAAACGGCCGGGATCGGGCGGTAATAAAAATATGGAAAGTTAGCTTTCGCTGAAAACGATGGGCCAGGGCAATAATAAAAGCGAAATAAAAAAAACGCAATCAGACAAGAACGTGCTCCAGGTGGGCCGTTAAACCGTTAAACTTTTACTTTCTCCATATACGCCGATCGCGTAAATTTCCTTTTATATCGCCGTATCGGACCGGAGGAAGCGATAATTTGTTTTGATTAAATTCGAAATTCGCGCAGTCACCGGGAATCTCCAAGTGACGGGCTCCGGACGCATTTCCGCTGTTCACAATGGGCCGAAAAAAACGCCGGAAACAAAGTGTAAAGAAGGGAAAAACGCTTAGAAAGCTTGGCAGCGGTACAACAGTAAATAAAAGAGCCGCCCGAACAACGAATTCCCCGTCGTGGCCCCGTTCGCGATCGCGTAATAATTATCCAACATAGAGACGTCTGCTCGTTCCGACGAAAGAACTGTCACATTCACGAAAAAACGGGAATTTTCGCCCTAATTAGGACGCCCCAAAAAGAAAGACTTGCATGTTTTCCGTCGAGATATAATTTGATGATTCCTGCCTCTCTCGCATCCCATAAAAATCCACCTCGCAACATCTTATAAAAGTTAAAAGCAATTAAATTTTACTAATAAGATGTCTAAATCTTGAGCTTATGCAGGGAATAATTATCTATACGTATATTTAACTTTCTTTGTTATAAAACGTAAAAACTCGCCGACTTCTAATTCAAAAAAAAATCCCTGTGAAAGACAATGGGACGAAAAAGGAAACGCTTAAAGAGCCCCCGAAGAAATCGCGAAAGTAAAGCAACAAGGGCTCGAGGAAAAGCGAAATCCTGTCGTGGTCCTATTCAAGACGCTGCAATTATTATCCTCAAAGTCGAAACCGCTGTCGTAATATTAATTAACTACCCTCGTTTCCTCAAAAAAAAAATCGCTCCTCAACCAGTTGCAGTATTAAATTTCACTGCAAACAAAAGCGGTTCTAAACGAAATTAAATAATATCCTGGACTAGTAAGGTTTATGAAGTCGAATCAATATCGGTTAACGTTTATTTATCCTCTAGCGCCGAATGGAAATCGACTGGGAAAACTCGGCGCAAACAACCCTAAAAATCGGGGCCGGGGAAATCGTCTCTAATACGATTTTCAATTAGCGACCTCCCGATAATCAAAGCGTCGGCGTCGTCGCCAATAAATTCCGGAGTTAATTTGTGCTCGGGAAAAATGCAGAAGAGCCCCGCCCGCCCGGATCGGCTGTCTGGAAGAGATAAGAATTCCGGTTAGATATTACGCGGAAAGACCTTGTACTGCGATCCCACTCCGGGCCGTTGTTACATCCAATTTTACCTATCTGGTTTAAGGAAATTGGAATCGAGCAATTCCCAGTTGATCCGCAATTTTTCCTCCCTTAATTATTCAATACTAATTGTTTTTTATCTATACAGTCTATTCTTTAATAAACGTTCATTCATTCTACTCTACTCTATTCCGTAAAACGAGTCTATAACAAGCTTCGATGTAAAATCGATAGGGATTTGAGCCCTAATCGCACGAAGGCGAGTCTTTTTCGAATTCGCCCGGACAAATATTACAGTTTAAGACGAATGGAAATTGGGAACGGGGTATTTAGGGAAATCTTATTATAAAGGACGTTGCGTAATTAATATCTATCTAATACTCGATGGTATCGTTGGGGGTGAATTTAAATTCAATATCTATCGAACCGATATTCCTATTAATTATTATCGTCTCCGCAGGAATAATAATTTCATTCGATTAATAACTTCGTTGCGTTGAAGTGATTAATGATAATATTTTACGAAGCGCGTTTGGTTGTTGAAGTGCTCGAATGGAATTCGAAAAATATGCGGAGGAATCGCGACTTTATCAGTCCTGTGGAGACTGGAAACAGGACCTGCATTCGGCATACTCGAGGTGCCGGCGTAATATTGGATCCGGCATAAATCATGTAAAGTATTCAATTCTATTCGGGAAACACAAGTGTGATCAGCGGTGCATTATTGACTTGGCTGCATGTTTGGATTTCTGAGGCTGCGACGAAGCTTCTCTAGAATCTCTTTTACGTAATTGTGATATCAGCAAATTTCGAATTTCTGTACATATTGGGAAACTAGTCTGGAAACTTTGTGGTGTAGAAAATTTGTTTCAATATTTGACATTATATTGACTAAAAAAATGGCTATTTCACATAGTATGTTTTAGAAGTTTTAATAAATTCGTACTGGTTGGTAATTGTAAATTGTAATTACTTTTGCCATTTCTCTTCAACGATATTTTTCCATTAATTTACCAACCGAATTCCTGCTCTGGTTAGACCGAAGTAATGAATTTCGAATAGGTTTTTTTGCTCTCATAAAAAGGGAAATTTACGGCTTGATTTAGTTCGGTTTAACCTTAAGTTTCCGTCATTTGAAATTCATGTAATAGGGGCGATACCCTAATTCGCGTACATACATACACACAAACCTTATTCATTTAAATTGCTTTTCGGTGTTGGTACAATTCGCAAACCATAGGCGGCACAAGAAATCATAAAACTATATTAAAACACAAAAATAAATAAGTTATTTATTTGTAACTACAACCAGAAAATCCACAATTAAGTAAATCCACAATTTTAGCTGAGCTTTAGCACAAACTAGCGCAAATTTTGTCTCTATATAATCATTCCATAGTACTGTAGATACTTATTGATTATTGTGACGAACGCCATTGAGCTAAAACGGGCTGTGACCGGTTAATTAAAACTCGTGTCATGACTTCAAGGGCCAATTTGAATGTTGTTAAAACAGTTGATTAGAGCTGTACCTATACGAATGTAATTCGGACCTCTAACTAGCTCGAAATCTGTACCAATAGCCTATTTAGGAATTGCAAAATGCGATATAGGGAATTTTCCTGTAAATTTTTCGTTTTATTCGTTATCCACCTTGCGCTACTAGCAATAAATAATTTATAAATAATTCGGTTAGTCTAATCTATGTTTAATTTCCTGAATGATCCTTCTACTTGGTCGTTGTGGTTTTTCGAAGGTTTTTCGTCTAAAAGATCGTGGCATTTTGCTTTTAGAAGCAACTTGAATTCGTCTTCTTTCGATTCCAATAACTTGCACCATTTTTCTAAAAACAATTAATTAATACAATAAATAATTTAGGTAGATTTCAAACTAACCTTCTAATTCCTCAATGGAAGCTTCCGTTCCTCCGTAATTCGAGGGTAAATATTCTTTTGGAATAGACTCGTATAAGCTCTCGTAAGTTTGATGTACTTTTACCTATTAGATGAGATTAGTGTTATTTTTGGATTATTATTAGACAAAACTCACCTTATCGTGCATCTTGGAAGGCAAAAACATTTTGACCATACCCATAACTTTGTCCATTATGGGCGGTAAATTGACGAAATGGAGATTTTTAAGTCGCAGTTTAACCGACACCTAAAATTATAATTAATCAATCGATTATTGCATTCGCTATAAGCATGTAGCGCTTACCAAACAATGTATTAACGTGTTACAAACGCCCGGTGAATATTTCATTAAATTGTGAAACCCGAAGCCTTTCAGGTCTATTATCAATGTGTTGCTGTAAAACGTATCGCCCGAAAATATCCTGTATTCGACACCCAAGAAAGATACCAATTCATAGATCAGCCCATCCGGTACATTAGCGTTGGGATCGCAGAGTCTAAATATTGTAATTCGACATAAATCCGGCGTTAATTTGGGCATTATCACAGTTTTTCTAAAAATAAATCGCAATATTAGCTTTCGATTTTCGAGAGTCGAATGATATCGGTATCGCTCGCGTTCTAATCACAGCCTGTATAAGGAGGCCTTTGTACAGGCTTTTTCCATCGCGCGAAACTCGAAATCTGATTAGAAATCGTCGGGGAATAAGCAAAGATGCTGAGATTATTACCGGGATGTATAAAAAGGAGGGAAAAGTATAATCGCATCGGAGAACCAAAAAACGTAATAAGTAATACGGATTGGATTTCTTTTGCTTTATTGGATTACGCGAATATCCGGAACCCCGCGCAATTTTTCCAGCGACCTTATATGCGTGGATTAATCACATACAATATTCGAATTGTTGGTAATAAAAATTTTTAAGCTACTTACGAGGCTTCTTTGGCTAAATTATAAATGTTTGTGTTAGGCACGAGTTTATCGAAAAAATCCGAATGAACCGTTCGGATTTTGTAATAACTCTCCAAGCATCTCTTCGCTTTTTCGATGTCCATTTTGCAATTAAACAGGGCTATTTTTATTTTCCCGCTTATCGTATCTAAAAATTGCATCAAAGCGGATGAGAATCTTAAAAATGTAGCCAAAAATTACGGCGTACCTTCTTGCGGTAGTTTCGTTTTCTTGTGCCATTCCCTGATGATGTTCACCATTTCATCGAATTCGCCTTCGTTGATGCCGTAGTGCTTGAAAATCGCATTTCTTTCGGCCTCGGTGACCAGCAGGAGTTCTTGATCTTGGGCAGGCATCGTTCAATGTCACTGTCAAACTTATTAACCAACTAATCCGCCGCACGTTCGTCGAAACTATATATAATATTTACGAAACGGTACGTCATTTATATTGTTTATAGTGTTTCCTTTTATTTATAAGTGATTAATTGCGGGCCGATTGTTCGTACAAGGTTTGCATAAAAACGCTCTTTCCGGGAAGGTTTTCCAGACGTAATCGATTCTTAATTGTTACTTCTTCTTTAGAATTACTAAAGTTTAAGGGATGCTTCATTGATTTTTCAAATAAATTGAAATTTGAAGTGCCAATAACTTGACAGTAACCATATTTTAGGTAATCATAATAACCATAGAAGCCACAGTAACCCAGTACCAATTACTGATGAGTTTTACAGTAAATTCATAAATAAATTATAATCAGAGTACAATGCTTTAGAAAGGTGAAAGTACTGTACAATTAACCTTGTTTGTAATGTTTATTTATTAATAACATACGAACGTGATTTTATTTTCTAATGAATATTAATATAAATAGGAAAATGGCAATTAATTACTATTATGCATTAGAAATGTATAAATAACTTTTAAAGATGTTTATTCAACATTGTACTAATTTAATGGTACAATTCTCTTAAAAAATCTAATAGTACATATCCCCTTATACAGGATTTTTTACTCAATTGTTTACCGGGTGGTGCTTAATTAATTTTCCAAATCGTATTAAAACAATGCTTTTAAAGGTGATAGTGGGACAATTAATTGTAATTAACGTCGCGGAATTTTTTACAATGTTTAGGTCAGTACATGTGAACTTTCTCCCCTTTTAAATTTAAACGAAGTACTATAATGGTCTGCGGATAAACAATTTAATAGCATTAATCATTGTATACACAAAAATCATGTTGAGTTAAATACTTACTTGTATATTTGCGAATTAAGTGTTTGTCGGTAAAAAGGAAAATTTAATTCGATTGCTCGATTATTTAATTGTTTGTTTTTGCATTAATTTACGCTGCAGTTTTGTTTAAAATTGCAATAATGGACTGTATAAAAACACAAAATAATTTATTTTGATTTAAATCAACACAAAATACTAAACATCAAATTAACAAGATAATTGGCAATTAATATTTAATAAATATCTACTTAATCCACAGCGAGCTTTTTGAAGCTTCCATGATAACCGAGAAAATCATCGTTAACCATACCTGCAGGTCTTAATTGCTCATTTACTCTTTCATTAACCCTCCTGTCGAAAAAACTCCTATACTCTTCGAACTTTTTATCAAATTCAGCTACAAAATTATCAAAATCATTACAAATTCCAATATTCAAATACCACTTCATCACCTTCCAATTCATCCAACGATTTTTCGTTACCCCCGTAATCCTTAGGCAGTATATTTTTATCAATCGAATTTATTATCGACTCCATATCTCTGTGAAGGAATATCTAAAAAAGCGCCCCAATTAAATAAAACGCTCGCTACTTTTCGAATTACATCATATTAAAAATTTACCCTATTCGCCATTTTCGGCTTAACGATAGACTTAACGAGCACTAACAGTCGCTCGGTAAACGCCGGCGCGTTTATAACGTGTATCCCTTGCACCCTAGTAGTCAAAGCTTTCTAAAAAAAAATCCACCATCGATCAATCGATCCCCGTAGAAACTCCCGCAGGAGACTTACTTCCCCGATGTTATAGCTGCTCCTGATAAACGTGGGAGTCACTTTAGCCACGTGCTGCAACTTGCAGTGCTCCATGTCGAAGAGCACCGTGTGCCCCGAACAGAAATCCTCCTGCAATCGAACTTCTGTCGTGTTCAGCAATCGCGCGAATATCGCCGAGGGATCCATTCCGGACGAGTCCGGTTCGTCCTTTAATTTTAATACCAAGATCCTGCTGTGGTCCGAAGTGCGTTTGGGCAAGGGAATTATGTACCTGGATACATGCAAAAATCTTTATCAAAACGCAATGGTACTCAAAAGGGCAGTAATAGAAGGCTTTACACAAGATTTTTAGACAGTTTATAAGCTGAGATCGTAGATAGTAAAATGATTGTCTTTGGTGTAGAAATTAAGAGTACCTAGTTAGTAATATTAGTAGTACTTACATGTATTTCTTAGCCTCGAGCATTCGCTGATCGAACGGGTGCGATCGATCGAAGATGTCCGGATAGAGAGATCTCATGGTGTAGTACATATCGATTTTCGGTTTAATTTTCTCGGCGCTGCCTTTGCCCAGCAAGAGGAAGGAACGAATTTGCTTGTCGGCTGAAAGGAATGAAGAATAACAAAGTGGAAAATGCCCTTCGCGGAGGATCTTACACAACGTGTGCGGCAGATGCGGTTGGGATTTCAGCCACGTTTTGATCGACTCGATGTCCTTGCTGATGGCGTCTTTGGTTTTGTCGAAGCCCTTCCACACTTCGATTTCGATGTCTTCGGTCGTCGGAGCGAAGTACTCGTGCGAAATCATCGCGAAAACGGGTTTTTCTCGAATGTTCTCGCCGAGCGATACTCGGACGTTTTTAAAAAGATTTTTCATACCGCGGAGTCATGTAATTGCTAATTACGAGGCCTTTATCGATGTTCTAATTCTTGTTGAACTTGACAATACACTTGTTCGAGCAATGCTACCGATAATTTTTTGTTTTATTAGCGGTTATCGAAGGATAATTAGTTGCAATGTGCATTAGTATATACCGTATACGCGAACGTAGCTTAGAACACGAAAGAAAAATATACACCTAATTTTAATGAAGGTTTCCATTTCGCTCTGAACTTTGCGAATGCAAATTCTTAGCACTATTTAACTCCTTACTTAATTGGATAAGGATCATTAACTGGGAACAAACTATATGAAGCTCGCCTCGTTTCTTGTACTAGTACCTTATTAACGTTTTATAAACTTCAAAAGAACCATTAGGAATCATCAAAAAGGATAATTAATGAGCCCTTTGAACAAATAACACTCTAATTAAGCAATTTCGTATCGCCATTCGAACGTGCGCAATTAAAAATTAATCAAATATCGGGTGCATATACACCTGCATACTCCCTTCAGCGTTCCGCATTCTGTGACGATCGGTGGAAACATTCAAAGCGAGGTACGTTAATTAAATAACTAATGTTCGAGGATGTGTATTATCCGAATTGCGTTTCCAGTCAAAAATGGCGTCGAACAAGCGCGAACACGTCCATATGAGATTCATTAAAACTTTCGTCGTCCTGAGCGGAATTTGGCCGTTGGATTTGAAAGGAATCAAGAAGCATTTGTACGACTTGTACTTTCGCGCGACTTTCCTTTTCTACGTTTTGAACGTTTGCACGGTCTACGTAACGGCCAAGGAGGTCGCTTTTCGCGGCAAAACTACCGAAATTACCGATTACGTGGCCAACACCATTTTCGCCACGCTGCTCATACTCAAAGCCTTGACATACAGATCCAAAGGTATACAGTTTGTTTCGAGATATTTAGGAAAAACGATTCGAGTTTGGCGTGAGTTTACGACAAATACCCCTTGATTTTGATGTCCTTTAATAGAAATGTTAATACTGTTGACAATCATACCCAACTAAGAGATTAAAAGTTCTATTGCATTGGAAACTGTTAACTACAATATTGTTATAACTCTACCTTCTCTTGTTGTTCAGCGCACTGTATACATGTTTTTAATCAAGGTATCAAGAACCTTCTGGATTCGATACTAGAACTAGAGAAGGAAGTTCTCGAGAAGTACGACGACGAATCGAGAAGCATCTACATGGAGAACGTGAAGAGCGCTGAGTACCTCGGCTCCGTGTACATATTCCAAGGTTGCTTCATGTCCCTCTGCGCCCAAGTATTCCCTCTGATAATGACCCTAATGAGCGTACCCGACGAGCAGGGTCGCGTCGAAAAGTACTACATAGTACCCAACTGGGAGCCCTTCGATAAGTACGAGCATTACTACGCCGCGTTCGCGCTGCAATTCGTTTATACCATCATCGCCGAGACCTACATCGTCTTCTGCGGCACCTTTTTCCTCTTCGTTTTGAAGAACGTCCAAGGCCAGCTGAGGGTGCTGCAGCACCGGTTCCGTGAAGGGCACAGCGTGAAGGATTGCATTCGATTCCACCAAGCCATTATCCAGTAAGTCTATTACAATATCAAACTCGTCGATTCGATTTATCTGCGTTACAGGTTGTTTAATGATTTCAATTCGACGTTCTACATGTTCATTTTCATGGAGTATATCTTCACCTCGTTCGGTTTGTCTATAGTGGTTTTGGAGTTTATGCTGGTGAGTGGTGATGATTGTTGTTGGAGGAGATGTTGGGGTGTGTTTTGCAGGAGGAGACGATTCAAATGAAAATCGCTGCTGCTGGGTTTTTCTCCGCTTTCGCCGGGCAATTGTTGTTTATCTATTACAACGCCGATCAGGTCACCTGGGAGGTACTAACGAGTCTTTTGTAGATTTTTGTTTAATGAGTAGTTAATTGTTTTAGAGTAGTGATGGATTGGTGAGGGCCATCTTCGATGGTAGTTGGTACGAAATAGATCCGAAAGCTCAAAAGTTGTTGGTGTTCGTTATAAAGCGAGCCCAGAAGCCTTTGACTTTATCAATAGGGCCTTTTAGGAAAGTGGGAGTCGATTCTATGATAGCTGTACGTATAATTTTTTTTGTTCTTCTACAGAGAGGAAAATTACAATTCGAGCTTTTGTGTATTCGCTGGGAAATGATAAAAATTTAATTTGCGCACTGGAGTGTGAGAATTAATTAAGTCGCTTTTTTTTGTTATTAAATTTTCGTTCATTTCGAATTTCAGCTGTTCAAAGCGACCTACTCGTATATATCTTTGATGTGGAGATAATTCAAACGCAGAAGAATTACCGAGCACGCTTCTATCGATGTTTTGTAGTTTTATTTCACTAATAATAAAGGTTAGAAGTGCATAATTAAATTAGCAATCGTTAGTCAACGTCTAATTTTCGGAAATCTCCGTGGAATCCTAAAATTTCGTCGTTCGTTAACCGTTCGGAATTGTCGCGGACATCTGCTACATTCATCGAGTCCAAAGCATCGAATCTTCCTTTATACTCCGCCAACTTTTTCAGCCATAATTCTGAAATATACGAAAGAATCGAATCTAATTAGCGAACGACGATGAAGAGGGAGAAATCGCATAGTTGGGAAGTTGTTTGGAGCATTTAAAAATTCATTCCCGTCCGAGTTCTTTGTCGGATTGCTTTTTTAAGAAAAAATAAACGAAATTAAAATTCTCCTCGGGCCTTGACGTTTGGCTTCAAAACTCGCTGACCGTAAATAAATCAATCAATTTATAGGGAATGCTCCTGACGGGAAATCTTTAAGTCCTCCGGCCGGGATAATCCGCGTAAAAAAACGAACAGAAAATTATCGATTCCGAAGATTAGTTTGCCTTTCGGATTTCCCGTAATCGCGGAAAAAACTTACTATTAAGTTCTGCTAATGATTTTTCTTCTCCACCGTAATCCCGCGGCAGAATTCCGAGCGAAATGTGCTCGGAAATTGTTTTAGTTCGCTTGTGAACGTGAATCTGGAATATAATAAATAGGGAAAAAGACTATTTTTAATAAATAAAACTCACCCTGGCCGCCATTTTCGGTTTCATGATTTGCTTAGTGAGAGATATGGTAGTAGCTGCGTACTTGGGGCTGTTTAAAATATGAATTTGCTTCACTCTGTTGCTGTAAACTTTCTAAAATCGATGTAAATTATTATTAATATACTATTAACTATTGAAACTTACTTCTAAAATTACGGAGGTTTTCTTCAAAACCACTGGGGTTAATTTGAAAAAATGGCCGACTTTCAAATTCCCCAAATCGTAAACGAGTATATCTCCAGCAGTTACGTCTTCGTGCAATCTTATTTCTGTTACATTGTAGGTGTGTGCAAAAAAATCGTACACTCGAAAATTCCTGGGATTATCGTCTACGAATTTCACAATTGCCACCCTGTAACCCTCATCAGTCAATTTGGGTAGAGGAATGTAGCACCTGTAGAAATATTCGTGATATAAATAGTTGTGACGTAATGAGGAAGTTATATTGAATGTACTGTATACTAAATATTTTTTTGGGTAAAAAATACTTGCATTTTTTCCGCAACTTCGCGCATGTGAGCGGAATCGGGGTGTTTGTTTTTGAAAAATTCCGGTAAAATCTCCCTAATGGAATAATACATCTGCAATTTTTGTTTCGTGTTTTGTATGTCGAATTTGTTCATTAACAAAAAGTTTATCAAAACGCGTTCGTCTAAAAAATGTTCCAATGCAGTTTCAGGAGTATTATTTTTGTTTAACTACTTACCGGGGAATTCGGGAAAACATTTTTCTGTTATTATCCAATTTTTCATAACGCTAACACATTCATCTAAATCTTCTTCTGATTTTTGATACTTCTTCAAAGCTAGATTTAATTGAATTTTCCGATTGATTTGCAGCACATTCACTTTATCTTCTACAAATTAATATTAGTTTTTGCAGTTACATTTAAAATTGTTACGTACCCATTTTTAAAAGTCAACTTCTATCACAATTTTTTAAAATTTCATTACTCTCGAGCGTTTCGTATAAAGAAATCTGATTATCTAACTGCAATATTTGTTAGCGGAATATTTGTTAGATGTGGATTAGAAGATATAAAATGTGTGTTACAAACAGGTTAGGACTCGTCGAATTATCTTTTTAAATAATCTAATGTTCAATACAGTTACTAAATCTCTATACCAGAAAATTGTTTCCCATCTCTATTAAACTTCTGTCGTACGAAATGTCAATTTTTACAGTTTATTGTTCATGTATCATCGAACGCATCTTAAAGTCCCACGTGTTGTAAATTTACAACACTTTATATTAACCGCAAATTCCACGAACAAGTACTGTCCTGCAAAGCGACCGGTCTTCGCAATTATCCTTCAACCGAACAGAAGTTTTTACCATATCCAGCTAACAAGTGGATTCCGTTTCGAATGTAATCCATTCCCTTGAACTAATACTCTCATGAACATGACGCAATTTCTCGAATTTTACCGCGCCTTCGCTTTGTTTTCCAATTTTCTTTCCCGCCTAATTGGAACAACCTCTCGCAAGCCTCCCCGTCGAAATCTATTTCACTCGCTTCGCTTTATATTTTCTTAATTGGATAATTAACTGAATGCTACATAATCCCGTTCGGAAAACTCTGGCTCCAATCGATAGAGAAACGCCCTCGATACCTCTCATATCATTATTATTTCACGTCCTTTCTAATATTTTCTTAAGGGCTCAATTTGTAATACTGCGAAGAGGGAAATTAATCGTATAAAGAATTAGGTTTTTTTAGATGCATTTGAGGTAAATATTTACCCGTAAATTTGATTGTTTGCGGGGTCGGGCTAGGCGGAAAGGGGTGTAAGAAGCAGGAACATCTGTTAAATGCGTTTTCAACGTTGCGGTCATCCGCAGGGGGACGGTCCGGCGTCGACCGTCGTCCCGCAGGAGTTCTAAGACACGCCGGGGAAGGGCCGGAATGTCGACAAGTGGCGCACGTCGGCGTACCTGCGGCTTGTTTACGCCGAAAACGGCCGGCGAAAATGCAATTTCGTTCGATATTTCGCGAGAAATTCAGTGCACCCGTTCGCATTCATTCGGAATAGTTGGCGCAGCCGGATAGCTCCCGGCGGGATCAAAGACTATTGTCGACCGAAAGAAGTATGTTAGGCTCGCCGGTGCGGGTTTTCACAACAATCCCGCGGCGCTCGAGGAAAAACGGGCTGATGTGTTTTTTGCTGGGACCACCGGAAAATTGGTCAACGAAGGTCAAGGCGTTTCCAAAACGCGGGAATTTCATGCAGCACGCGAACATCGTTTCGGCGCCTAAACATATTTCAAATTCGCAACTTTTTTTTTCTTTGATATGGGTCGAACGTCGGCGAATTTTCCCGTCTTTCACGCGCCCGAATTTCGCGGTAAAATTCCCGTTCTCCGAATCAAAATTAAAATTCCTGAGGTAAACTCGCATAATTTTTTCCTATGTGGATTTTTTACGTCCCTTTTGATCCCGGCTTTTCCCTGCCCGAATACCTTAGGGAGAAACAGATGCCACTTAAATAATCAGCCGGTGAAGGCAAACTGCACGCAATATTTATTTCATTTTATAAAAGCTTCCTGATGAAGAAAGAAATTCCACTGAGTGAGTGAGTTTAAATTTAACACAGTTTAAATGCAGTTAAAATTTTAGAGGATCTAAGCGATCGTTGGGGTGCAATTGAGCCGCTCCGGTGTTAAATTCCGGTGCCGTGGTCAGAAGTTTAGGCATCAAAGGGTCGAATTGTAGCTAAAAAGGGTATTAAGTCGGATCAGATCCTTTATAATTATATACTTAACGCGAATTAAACGAGTGGCAATTGTAGGGTTGACTAGGCAAACTAGACGTCTATTTTTGAAAGGGATTTCAGTTACGCACCTCGAGCATTAGACCCGGTAATATATAAACAGGAACGGAGCTAATTCGAGATTTAAAAGGCGCCGAATCTATTCGAAAACCTACCGTCCATTCGCTCTGTTTATTCAAGAATTTTCAAACACCTGGAGAGCATCGAATTCGCGACAGTTCCCCCTAGCGATCGTTACCCCTTTTGCATCCGAAATTTACGGTAGCTTTTAATGAAACCGTTTCTCATTTCTTTCCTCAAAAAAACGTTAGGAGCCACTCACGCCGGCGAGCGTCTTCCGCCCCGACGGCGATATTGTTCTAAAAGTAATTGTTTTTTCGCGGAGTACCTTTTAATTATGCCGCTCTCCCGGCGAAATTGGAATCCCAAACGAAATGCAACGCTCGCCACTCGCGGAATGCGCCAAGCGAGTTAGTTTTCGAAAGACGCGAATTATAAAGGAGGATCTGCAGTGAAGAAAAGTGTAAACAAAGAATTCTTCGAATCGTAAATTTGAGTCGCTGTAGAATTGGTAACAGCCGAGCTAGAGTGGTGAAATTTTGAGCAGGAATAGCCTCATATGTTGTGATATTGCCCTCAAAATAGCATCAACCCCAATCAACTCGAAGGGGCTGTACCACCCTTTCGAATGAGACAACTTTTCCACGAAGATCGCACTAAATATCGAGCTTTCGCTTTAATATCGCGCCGCTCTGTAGATATAAAAATAATCGGGTAGAGCTAGATTTCTAACCGGAAACATAAAGTCGGGCGTGTTCTCTCCGGTTCTTCGATTAAATCCGGTGATGGACGTCACCGAAGAGAGCGCCCCCGTAGGTGCCTGTCATTTGTCACACCGGTGTGGTGGACGGTCTCCAGCGAATGCAACCCTCATAAAAAATTACGCTCGAAGATATACGAGCCGCCCATTATTAATTCCGCTTACGAAATAACCCACTTGTCACAAAAACGAACAAAATATTACCCACAACGTGCGGACCAGAGGCGTCCCGTACTTCGTGGAATTCCTGCTATTATTTATCGTTGTTTACGGGGCTACAACTGATTGTTCTTATTGTGTTTAGTGAGCATTCTTGGCTGGTGCATGTGTCTTCAATTTCTATCCTACTGACTGCGCCAGTTTAGGGCGAATTCCTCCGGGCCCACCGCTGGGAACTCAGCTCGACGAAATGATCTTTTAACTTGTTAGAGCTACGAATTGCGACCTGCATTAAGGTCGGGCAAAAAGGGACTAGACAAATGAGCGTATTCCGCTTGTGTATAACACACGAATGTTCCCAGAAAAACTAGATTTAGTGTTGTTGATTTGATTGGTGTAATGAAGTAAAAAAATCCAATAACCGGTCGGGGAGTTTTATTATACAACCGGTTCTTTTTTAGGTTTAAAAATATTTGTGTCTAGTATCCCGTCGAGTGAAATTTTGATGATGGAACAGCAAAGAGCGATGTATATGAAAAGCCGCAAACGACCGCCGTGTCGTATACACTTTCCCTTGTACGAGATTGCTTTCGTTTTTATAGTCGCGCGTTAAATTTCAGTAAGTAGTACTTTTGGGAAATTATTATTGCAACTGGAGGAATAGGTATAGAAAAAACCGCAGTCGATAGAGCAATTTTCCTCCACCTAATGCATTAGAAAAATTCATGATCGCCCGCACGCCCAATTTCATCGTGATATAATTAAAACCGGGCGCGGGAAATCAACTTAGTTTTCCGTTGTGCCGGGACCGGGTCCGTGCGGCGTGTCGGGAAAACCGAATTAGGAAAATTCATAGGAACGGCTGCGTGTATAACCCAATAAACAGCTTTTCAATTAATGCGGTTCTAAATTTTCGAATACCGTCGCGCCATTATGGCACGTAGCCCGTTAATTAGGTCTTGTATTTTCCAGTTGTCGTGCAGACTCCGGTCCGTGCGACGGGGGATTAATGGGGCGGTTTTTAATAGGGCGAGTCGTGGAAATGGGACGCGTAAATGTACGTTTCGCCGGCGATGAATTTTTGAATAAATCGCTGGAATAGTTCGAAACAAAGCCGCCGGACTAAACGAAACAGTTTCGTCATCTTTACGCCCCGGCCCTTTAGGCCTTGTTTATCGATATTAACGTTACCCTTGCAGCCCATTAACGTCCTCTTTGATGAAGTTCCCTTGTCCTTGTAGCATAATTTCGTCGTTACGACTCGGCTTTATGTTTGTTTGCATTCATACGTTGACCAAACACGTATATGCCCGCCGCAAACTACAAGTTAAGCTCTTATTCAAATCTCTCCCCCGTCGAGAAATTTTATTCCGGGCAACTTTCGCTTTGATAAAGTAGGCGAGTGTAGTGACGTCATGGTGGTGTTAAAGTGAACGTTCTTTATGCAGTTATATATATTTTTTTTTTTTAATTAAACAATTATGTTTTATATAAAGTCGCGATTTTCGAGCTGAATTTCGAGCGGAGTTTTCGACGAGTTTATTAGTGCGGGAGAGATTATTTATTAGTTACAATTTAATGCGCATTACGGATTTTTGGTTGAGTAATTTGTTTAAATTTAAATATTCCCGTTAAGCACGTTAAATTGTAATGGAATTTGTATTGTTGGATTTTGGAGTTTGGAGTTTGCTGTAGGATTTTCGAAACTTTATAAATTAATTTTAATGCGTACTTAAACAACTTCCTGGGAGTCTAAAGAGGTTTAATACGGAAACAATTCGGGCTTCTGGACCATAAAGAACGCCTTCGACGAATCATTTACAAACTGTACCAAATTGTTTAATTCCCGAACGAAATATTTTTAATACACCCTGTATCTGAACGTTCTTATTTTTAGACGAAGGATTAGCGGACGGTATACGGTCTGGAAAAAGCCAACTTTCCAGACTCCAGTCGAAAACTGCCAATAATCTTTGATGGAGAAGTTTGATTTCCCTTCGGGCCGCAACCGGTCGAATTATTTTTCCAAAGTATTCGCCGATTTGAAAAAAAAATTACCTAACGAGCGGTCCATTAGGTGCACTAGGTACTCGCGAAATACCCGTCTTGTATAATCCGAATGCCGAAAAGCCGGATCATTTCACTCGAAAATGAAATCC